TAATAAATCATTTTAAAACAAAGATGTTACGATTATAAGAAGTAAAATTAGCTGAAGAAAAATTTGATAAAAAAATGAAGAAGAAAAAAGCAATGAATTATAGATATATTCGTAAAGAGGATGTACTAATATTCAATAGAAAAAAAACTAATTATTTATTAATAAGCAACGATTCAGAAAGTTTACGTTATTATTTATCAGAAGAACTATTTGATATTTTACACGATAGTCGTATTGCAATAGGTCATGGCGATCGAGATAGCACGGTTTATGAATCAAAAACAAAATATTGTGATATTCCTAGGGAAACTTTTTTGATCTATTTAAGTTTTGTTATGTATACCTACTGTGAAAAAATCATTGGATTCAAAGTGAGACATAGTTTATAAATCAATATTTAATATGTACCTATTCAACTCACGAGCCCAAGTTGTTGACCTTATCGATATGCAAAGTCAAAGTTTTAACGAATTAAAATTTATTATGAATTATCAGGACCATCTAACAAGATGTGTAATATTAAGACTTTTAAAATCAAAACGTGCTTAGAAAATATAATTTAATTTTATCGATATTTATTTAAAATTTGAACCTGCAATACTTCATTCTGACTTATTATACTTCATTCATACTTCATTTTTAAACACTGTTATAATAGTTTTAACTTAGCTTAATGTGATATGGAATGATTTTAAAATAATTCACGGCAAACCAAAGTACAACCAAAGCCAAAAGTAGGTAAAACGAGCGAATTGCGGTGTTGGAAATATTTTAGCTACATGGATGGCTGAAAATAATTTCAAAGAACTGGCCATCTGGATTAAAATTTATTTAACTTAAAAAAATCGGTATTTTCATTCATGGTCTTGAAATAAATTATTGAAAAATTTAGATGAAATTTTGTTTTAAAATAATTGATGGTTGCGAAAGTTGAGAATTAGCTATAAGTAATTAAAAAGTACATTTTTAAAAAACTTAACTAATTAGTTGAATTTTTAATTAACTGAATAACTTAAGCTGCTTAAAAAGTTCTTATTAATAATTATTAGCAATAAATAATATAATAATATGTTTTCATATTAACTTTAAGCTTTTTTGGTTAAATATAGCTAGATTGTAACATTAATAATGTTTGTAAATTATTAAATATTAACTATACGAGTTAAAGCGATAGTTTTTATGCAGTGTATAATTTTCCTTTTCACATTTTTAGGTTTTCGTTAATAATTGCTAAATTTTTGTTCCCATATTACTGCATATTTAATTTTATTATATATTTGTACAAATTTCAATATATTATCATATTATAAAAAATTAAAAAAAAAAAAAAAAGATATAAAATAATATTTTGTCTAGAAAATTCAAAAATTAATTAATAATAGTACTATTTACTAAACACAAACCGTGAAAATGTTTACTCTACATTATAATCCAATTAAAATTTGCAATAAAAAATTTGAAAAGTTTGAAGTAAGATGTAAGAGTAAATGTTCAAGTTTTAATCCTCGATGTTCATCGAGCTAGAGGTTCACCTCGAAATTTTTTGGTTGTCATCATAAGTATAGAAAATACCATGCATAAATAAGGTGTGTAAATTTAAAAATAAAAAATCAATTTTATTTAATAAAATTATATTTTAGGTATTCTTTAAGAATTTCTTTAGAACGGTTTTCTTAAATATTTATACGCTAGAACAAAAATTTTCCCTTGCGAAGAAAAATGTGTTCTTCTCGAAAACGTCTTGAAGTTATCTATCGAAAAATAAATTACATTACATGAATGACTGGGACAGTCAACAGTGTAATGGAAATGTTGGAAACTCATTGGTTTTCAAATTTCAACGGTGCCACTGCAAAACAAAATATGTACAAAACAAATAAATGTATTTGTCGATCTGCTGATCGGCTTTATACACAAAAGTGCCATAGCAGTTCATCATGTAAAAATAAGCGATCTCCTTATAAAATCTCTGTATAAAAGAAATATAATTATGAAAAATTTGATTTCATCGTGTATTTTTTATTTATAAATAGTAAATAATAATATGTTATGTACATTATCACAATCCTATTAGTTTTTTATTGACTGAATCGTCATTGACTACCTAGTCTTAGTCAATAATGACAATAATGAAAAATAGTCAAAACACTGCAGACCAGCCATTTTCAACAACACCTAATTATTATCATTGACGGTTACGTATATACATATATATATGTATATCATAAAACCAATGTCTATACCAATCGCATCTACCATTTAGAATATTTAGATAAATGACATGCGAAAATAAGAAGAAAAAATAGTATCATTAGATATATTTTATACCTACTTACGTACAAGTAGATAGAACACTAGACAATCACATTTATGTGCGAATATAGGTAATAATTGTTATTGTATGTACAGTATACGCCATGCATAATTTAAACAATAAACAATATATTATAATAATATACCAATTATTAATACATATTGTATTGTATTCAATATTCGTGTGGATGTATAAAACGTGCCGGTTCGTAGGTAATTTTTTTTTTTTTTTTTGTCATGAAATCGGACATTATAATAATATCATATAATACATTATTCACATAAAATACCATTCCGGTATTATATTATATAATATATTATTATACTATAAGATATGTTGGTGTATATAATTTTCTGATTATGGATTCTTCAAATCTCGGCATCGTAGTCGTTTATATAGAAAATACCGACGTTCCTCCACGAGGACTATTTTATAATGTTTATTATCTTATATACCTACCTGCAGTTTGCGTCGTACGTCGACGATACACTACCACAAAACATATATATATATATATATATCATATTATATTATATTACACGAGCAACCTTTTCCCGCACAATATTATAATATAATAATTGAATTGAAATTACAATAATATTATGATACACGAGTAGGTATACAATACGCACCAATTATACGCAAGACCGCGAATAGTAATCGTTATGAAGTTTAACCCGCGTTACGTATTTTATAACGAGGAGTTTGCGCGTATATTATTATTATGTGATATTAAGCGATGCGTTTTCGAACAGTTTAAATTATTATATTATAATTAGGGCTGGGATTTATATGTAATAAAAAACGAAAAATATGTACTTATATATGTAATTAAAATTGCCAAAATATGTAGTATAAAATAAAAAATATGTTGTATAAAATAAAAATTATGTACTAAGAAAAATTGAAATACAATAAATTGATGTTTAATCAATCGTAAGGGAAACAATGACAAACCATATATTGTTTTAAATTTTCAAAATTAAATGTACGGCGATTTGGTCTTAACACTGACTTATGCCTACTAAAGGAGCGTTCCACATCACAAAGTAAATTCATAAATATATTTTGTCAAATAATTGTTGAACATAAAGTTTAATCTAAAATCATTAAGATATGGTTATTGAACAGAAACAGATAAGATAAACTAAAATCAAGTTATTAATATTTATTTTAACCTACTTATTTCCTATATGCATTATACACTTACAATTTGTCGAGTACCGTTATCGAAATAAAATATAAAATATTACTAAACCATCAAAATTGTCAAAATTTACGAAGTATGTAAAAAAAAATCGAAAATTTTACAAAGTATGTAAAAATATGTATTTATGACAAAATATGTAAAAATATGTAAAATAAAATATGTTTTATTTTATTGCAAATTACGTGAAACGAATTTATCATTTGCAATAATTAATTTATCGTGTTTCACTAAAAATATGTATTTACATATAAATCCCAGCCCTAATTATAATACTTCTGTAATATGCCCAATAAAACGATTACTACTTATTTACTCGTTTTGAATTCGTATGTCACGCGGTGGATGAAAAACCTTAGCCGCGTTTATGATTAATGATTGCATGTCGTCGACGACCAAGAGGTATACCTATAGGCGCATACTCACTCGTATATTATTTTAATACGTACGATATCACTATTCGCTTTGGGTGTGCAGCAATCGTCGTACGCGTAGACGACTGCAGGGTTCTTTTATTGCTAGCACACGTTCATACAATCGAATCACGTTCGTTATATAATGTCACAATAATCATATAATTATTGAACCTGAACACCTCGCCGTGGCCAGAATGTATAATTTATTAATTTCCCTATAATAATTATTATTATCATTCGAAAACGTTATAGATACGCGTTTTGTGATTTATTTTTCAAAATGTTGTTCGTAGACCGACAAGCCACTATATATCATAGTGTTATTTCTATGACATCGATGTTTTGTTCATACTTATTCTGAACATCATACAATAATATTATTATAATATACCCATCTACGTGAGTAAATCAAACGACTCTCGTGCGTTTACGCTCGCCAAGTGCCGAAAGCCACCCCTCGCTCCAGAAAAATGTACATTTACACGGCCCTAATATATATACTTACTATTATAAGTGCTCAACCGAAATAAGTATTCCATTCAAAGGCTCTGACTTGATTGTACACACTCGCCGTCACCGTCTACTACACTTTTCGTTTAAATGACGCGGGCAGTGTTCAAGTATTACACAACGCATATTATTATAAATGGGTCCGTTGTTAATATTTTTATTAGTCCTTTTTTTTTTTTTTTTTTTCATGGGAATCAATTAGGAAAAACTTGAAAACGTCATATTGTAAGACAATAAAGTACACAGCCGACAAACATTTTGATAGATTAATTCGTTTTAATTTATTCACGTATACATATATATATATATATATATATTATATAAACATACGTGTATTTATACAAGTATCTATATATAGTATACACATATATATTATGTATAGAATATTAAAACGTTTTATAATACACACATTGTATAATAATTCATAATTATAAAGACAAACATTTTTCATTAAAAATGATAATTGTTTATTAGAGCTGATAACATTACATATTGCTTACAAAATTATTTTCAACATAGTTATTACAAAATATGTATCTAAATTCGTTCACAAAATATTCTTCGAAATTTCGTGTTTTTAGAATAAATTGTAATAAATAAGTAGCTCATATTTTTTATATGATTAATTCAATGAATTTATTATAGATCGTAAATCGAGTAAAATACAATGAAATATTAAATTTTTGTAAGATATAACAACGAAAAACAAATACTACGTTTATATACAATTCATTTTTAAAACAAGAAAAATTCAATATTACATACGTGGTTGTTTGTTATCAAAACATACAAATCAAGGAATGAGAAAATAGATAAACATATTAAACAGCCCCAATAAATCACAAACAAAATATACCCACCGAAGAAATAAAATACAATACAATAAATATAATATATATATGTGCGTGTTTATAAGCGACAGATTTCTCATGAAAATATTTACTGGAAGAAAGCTATACAAGAATAACAAAATAAATGCTCTAAAATATCGATCACAACCATTACAAACTAAATTTTCTTTGGCATTACTGTCTTATAGTTACATTATATAAAATACAATTAAACAGTAATAAATATTGTAGTCATCAAGTGTTTGGCATGAATAGAGGCAAAACTAGTAGTTAAAATCAACCGAGTTTTAGTTATAACAGGTTAAAAGTAAAAAAAAAGACACTACGCTTTGTTTATAAAATCAGTCAAGTCCAGGTACAGTAATAAGTATTACATACGTATCATATATAATATATAAGTAGTAAAATAATAAAAATAAATAAAACATATCGGTACAAAATTGTGTGGTAAGTAGGTACTACGCATAATGTACGAGAAAATAAACGAATCATTTCGAGATTACGACGTGTGTTAAAAATAAGATTTTTTACCACAAACTATAATAATACAAAAAACAATAAAATTAATTCACAGTGATCAAATTTCATAATATTATCGTTTTCAAACTATATGATAACTATATCTATCACACATTCTTAATTGCAATAACCATTATCATAAAAAAAATTCAAAAAAAAATAAGTTTATTTTGTTTTATACTTCACTTAAATTAAAACTACAAAATCAGATCTGGAAACAAATTATCATTGACCATTGCACAATAATATTGTATTTTTTTTTTTTAACATATAATTTAAAGCACCTTAGAATATGCATTTTGCTTTTCTATACTTAAAAAATAAACTTAAAAATACTACCTACAAATTAAAAGGATCACGAATTTCAATAGTAAAGTAATTACATTTTTCTTTCTTCAATCTTTAGATACGAGAGTCATTATTTTTAATTTATTGTATTGATCGTTTTATAATTATATATTTTGTAACATTTATTTGACTTAAAATTGAAAGCTGTTAACAACTTCAATTAATGATCAAACTTGTTTTTACTCTTGTCGATTTGTAGACAAGACTAATTTATGTCAGCAACTAGTAATTTCGTGAGAAGCTTATAGATAATTAAGATAGTCATTAAAATCAAAACCGTTTGTAACGGGAGCTAAAACCAGGATAAATATTGCATAGTAATTGATTCACTTTTGAAATTCAAGATATTATGAGATCCACACACCAAATTACAAATGTATAATTAGATATGCAGTAACGTGCAGTATCTATAATGATTTTCTCAAAAAGTATCTTAATGACATTGCACAATCATATAATAACAGAACAGGTGTATGTCCAATTTCATGCCAACAATTACGATCTCAGACTTAAGTAAGAAATTCGCTAGTTTAGCCAATCAAATGGACGGAAAAAGAAATCGTTTACAAGAATAGTCGTACAAAATAATTAAAAGGAACCAATTTGTGAACAATCATGTGCAACTACAAATTACAATTCAAATAAAAATAAACTTATTGATTAGAACTCAACTAAAAATATAATTACCGCCTCTGTATACACTTTGTCATATTCTCTCAATAAAATAAATAACTATTATCATTTAAGGAACGACAAAAATGTCTACATATTAGATATTTTCATTTTCTCATTTTATTTTTATGTGATTTTTTTAGAAACCTCAAGGAAGTATATCAAAATATTACAGTATTTTACCACCGTTAGAATTTTAATAAATTATTATTTATTCATACTGCTTAAAATGCAAAGAACATGTCTAAATAATTTCTGATACATGTTTCTTACATTTTTTAACTCATAATAATAATACTCCATCGAAGTATTTTTCATTGGTCCAAATCACGCTGTTCTTTATTATTGATATTCTTTTATATTAGAATGTTGGTTCCACGGAACGTCATTAATGGCTGGCTGTAACCTAGTATGAGGATGTGGCGCTCGCATAATGTCATCTGTGGGTTGGATGTGATTCCTGGGTCCAGATTCTGGCGTGTATGTAAATGTCAGCCCTGTAGCATAAATGATACCATCGTTTCTCACTAGAGATACTGGTACTTGGGTAGGCTGTCTGACCCACAGCCAATCACCTCTAAATGAGGATATATCAGGTACAACGGCCAACATACTCTCCTGGCAGCGATACATAGTTTCGGATTCAACGTCACCAAACCATACTTGTAAGTGAGGTGTGAAATTTTCTCCGGTCAATTCTAACATTGCCACATCACCACCACCGTTCAAGTTCAAACTGTGAACAACCGGAACAGGTGTTATTGGCGAGTTTACGGGACCCATACCTTCGTAAAACTGATACTCGGCCTTGTCCGTGCTTATAATCGTCCAGCAAGCACCGTCGTTAATCATTTCTTTATTGGGTTCCTTGGGACAAGGTGTTGCTTGAAACTGAATTATACGCTCTTGAGATAAACATAAATACATATGCTCTGTATCTTTCATGTAAAACGCACACTTGTGCAGTTGTGATACTGGATCGTCAGCTTCCAAGAGAGCCATTTGTTTATCGACTTTCCTTATTATAAGTCGTGGCAATGCCATACCAGTAACACTACAAACTAGCTTGATAGTACTACCATAATGCACATATCCATCTCTAACATTAAATTCTTCACTCTCGCTTTCGTCATCATCTAACAAATGGATAGTAAATGCACCCCATTGCGTTGAGCTAGCGTGGAAATTGCCCTTTTCGACGTGCAAGTATCGTGTACTGACTGTTTGGGACCTTAACCTATTGAACAACGCTACTTTTGTTCCACTTGCGATACATAAATCGGCATTTTTTAACGATTGTTTTTTCTTTGAGGGTTTTGATATAACCTTTATTCGTTTACTATGGAATGTACCAATGTCATAACCAATATTATAAAACATTCTAACCATTAACATAAAATGTTTTCGTTTATCTGAATCTGAAATAAACAACGTTTTGGCAGCACAATATTGCTTTCCGTTATTAAGGTCAAGTGGTTGTAACTCTTGATCAGTGCTTCCAATACCAATAAAGGCACTCATCTGAGAATTAGCTTCAGAAACTCCTTCTCTTAATAATTGTTCTTGCCGAAGTCTCCAGCCATCGCCAAATAAATATATGCAAGGAGGTGGACAAAAAAATCGTTTTTCATTACCGTAAGATTTCTGAGCTACTTTAGCATGGAGAATAACCAACACTAAATCATTGCGATCTCGTAGATATCTCTCCATTGCATCTCTAGTTAGACGTTGTTCCGGTCGAAATTGCATCGGAGCTTCAGGACCATAATGGTGAGGCATCCTTGCTGGTACTCCTAGAAGTTCCGCGGAGTTATAACAGCTTAAAGAGCCTACCACTTCTCCATCATCCGTATCACCATCTTTCTCTGATTTTAGCGTCCAGGTTCCCATAAATCTAAAAAAAATACAAAAATATATATTTAAAAGTGAGTCAAAATTAAATTCAAAAAAAAAAAAAAAAATGTTTTCGATTAAACTAAGACAAACCTAATTATTTTCGTTTAAACACTATTTACTTTGCAATCAAAAAGGGTAAAAGTCTTAAAAGTTTTTTTAAAAATTATGTATAGTAAAATAATGACTTTATAGTTTATACTATACAAACTACAACTAAAAACTAACTATTTTTGTTCTAGTATATAAACTTATAGTTGATATTATAAAAGGTTTTTTTAAAAAAAATAATTTACAACTTCATATTATATTATTGAGTATTTAATGAGTTATTCAATAATAAATCATTGTATACAAAAGGCAAACCTGAGAAACGATAATCGTTAGCCTATGTTACTATAAGTATATAAAATATTTTATTACATATTTATACTAATATTAAATTTATTTATTTTTCTATAAGTAATATGATAGGTTATTTCGAAAAATATCTGTTTTAAAATTGTATTATGTATAGATATAAAATATACTAATATACGTTAAAACTTCAATCACTCATGAATAATATTTTTAAATTACAACGAAATAACTAAAATCATTATTCGTCGTTTAATATTTGATATATTATTTAAGTTTTAATGCATGAATAAAAACTTATAAAAAACTTTGTATCAATTATTTAATCTTATCGATCAAGTGAAAAATATAAAAAAATGTGAAAATATTATAAATATTATACCTATGTATATTATTTTTTTATATCATATAATATAATATTAAGCGATGTGTAGAGAATGATAATAATATTTAAACATTTAGTAAAAATTTTAAGTGTTTTCGGTTATTTGATTTTGAATTAAAATGAAATCTTTTGACGAGTAATTGTTATTTTTCGCGCGAATATTCAAATTTTATCAACATTTTAATTTTAAATGCTTATTTACACTCCACAGCTTTTATTTTTAATTTCGACAATAATAACTTATGAAAAACCTTATATACAATTTTCAAGATTTTTGGACTAAACAGAATTTTTTTGATCGACATTTATAAATTAAAGAAAAAAATAATTTAAAATTGTTATTATATACATATATACGATTTACAGCTCAAAAAGAGTCAAAATATTTTTAAAAACTGATCATGTATAGAAAATGCTAATACAAACATTTGAGAAAAATTTTCACTACCAAGTGTTTATGATTATTCATTTTTAAGTTATCTACACCAAAAAAAAAAAAAAAAAATTATAATAATAATTTTGTCGTTTATTGTTTTTTGTAAAAATCTCAGTTTTGCTTAATTTTGTTTTTGTCATTTAAAAAGTAGGAACTAGGAATTTTTTATTTAACAAATTTTGACTTCTCAAAGTACTATCTTAATTCGATTTTCTATCGGATACCACTCTCGAAGTTGAGAATTGAAGCATTTTTACCACTTCAAAAGGAGATGATAGTATGAAAAAAAATATCATTATAAAATCAATACATTTATCGATCCGTCCAGAAATCAGAATCTAAAACCAGTCAAGCTCAACGACTAATAGAATTATATAAATTTTTAAAAAATATATATAAATTTACCTTATCTAACAATTTTTTCTTAGTTCAACAATATCAATGTTAGATTAGGTTAGGTTATTCAATTTAATAAAAAAAATATTAATATTAATCGTAGTTTTCATTTTTTTTAAATTATTTTGAATTGAATAACATTTAAAAAATGGCTTTACTATAGAGTGCTAATATGACATTTCTGAAGAACTTGTGCTACTCAAAAAATACTTGTTAACAGATACAATACAATACTCCAGGAACCTATAGAAAAAATAAAAGCTTTATCGCCTACACACACAGTTTGAACTACTGATACATAAGCACGTGCATTTGTAGTAATCTTCTGGATCTGTTACTAATGCTACTATCGTTGATCGTAAATTTTAAAGCAGCTCAAATATTGAAGTAAAATAACTTTAAAGATTTTTGTTTATACATGTGCTTTAACTATTTTAAAATTTATAAAATTAGCATATAAATAGAATATAGATCATAATAGATTTACAAACATATATTATATATTTATAAAATATAATTTTTTTTAAATTTTTTTAAAATAATAATTCATCAAAATAAATATTTTTATTTGTTTTAGTAATTTAATTTATTTAGTACACTTTCCAGACGTGTCTTATAATAGAATAAATTCGATTTAAATGAAAATAAATAAACTATACATAATAATATAGAATGTCATAATACCTATATAATATGATTACTGCAAAATATAATATTAAGAATTACTGTTTAATAACGATTATGATTTGATTAAAAAAAGTTACAAATATTATTTTTGTAAACATATGACAATTGAAGTTAAGAGCATTTTGAGTTTATTAATTAAAACCATATTACATTGTTAAATGTATACTGATAAGTTAAGAATATTTATCAAAGAATTAAACAACATTGTCCAATAATGATTACAAAATAAATATTATTACATATACCTAAATGTGCTTTTTACTTTTATTTACATAGGTATTAAAAAACAAAATCCTTCGAAATTTTCTAATCAAACACCCTCCCCTCTAGTCTTTAAAAAGTGATAATGGTATACGGAGATCCTTTGAATTTTGATAATTCGAATTAATGTTATCGAACAACTCAATCGATATTTTTCCTATTCCCTGCTCACTCACTATAGACTACAGACTCTCCCTTCGCAATAGGGATATTCGATACAATATGTACGGTATAAAAATAGTATTAAGTGTGGAGCACAATGTGTATAATAACATGTGATAGGGTAGAATATTCAATTAATAAATTGGACACCCTACATGCACTTGAAGGGATAATCTCCTTTTAAGTGCACAAAAATGGACCCCAAATAATTTATATAATATATTCTATTATTATACGGCAGAAAAAGACTTTGTATAATATTGTCTAATATAAATATATAGACGTTGAAAACAAAAACAATACGTTATCCTAAATTTCCACAGTAGTAAAATGTATCGAAATAAAAAAAATAAATATTAAATATTACGTTAAATATTAAAATAATGTTATATCATTCATATAAGAACAATTTATTCATTTAAAATATATTAACGTAATACATTTTAATCATTTTATTCTTCTTACGATTGAAACAATGGCTCTTTTTCTGTATAAACAAAATATAATACAAATATAAACCGCATTGAAATTCAACTACCTACTCAAAAAATAAAATTACAAATAATTCTTTATAATATTAATATTTAAATGTAAGTACTTTATTGATGTAATAAACTATAAGTTCTTTTTAAATTATAAATTTATAAATATATATAATTCAATAAGATTCTACTGTTGTAAATTTATATTGTATTTTCTACAGTTTTTTTTCCGAAATTCTTAGTAATATAAATATTTTATAGTATTACCAGGTCTACATCAAATGTGATTCTCCAGTCTTTATAATTTATATAACAACATAAATATTTATGTATATACTTTATTTATGCAATATTACTGATAATATTTCTATTACTTCTTATAAATATAATAATAGTTTAAATATTTATTATATTAAACGTATCCATTTGTGAGTTAAGAAAATATAATTTATTACATATTTTATGAGCAAGTATCTAAAAAATAATGAATTATTTCATTGCTTATTATGATTCTAACATCTACAAAAATAAATTTAAATTAATATAAATTGTAAAAGGTAATGTATACACCTAAATATTGCATAAACAATATAGCTACACACTTTGAAAGTATTTTTAAAGTTGTCAACAATTAATTTTAATAGTAGGTATAATAAGTACACATCCAACTATCCAAGTAACATAAACTATAATAAAATTATTAATTATACGTTACGTTTATACTTACAGTATTAAAACCACGGGTAGGTAGTTAAGTAATAAAATATTTGAATAATTTTCTAATTAAATTAAATTTAAAATTCATAAATTGTCAAAATATTTGTATAAGGTAATAATCTATTTATATTATTAGGAATTATATAATTAGTTTTTTTTATAAATATAGGTAAAAGAAAAAAAGTTCTTTTTACATCAAGTGATTAGTTTCCTTTTTTTTATCAATCTAATTACATTGAATTTTCATTCAAACGATTGGGCTAAATTAATAAAACTATTCCAAGTATTTGATTCAATGTAATCGTATAATTGTAATATTGATTCATTGTAAAAAATCAATTTAGTAATATTTAAAAATAAAAATAAATAATAATTAAATACAAAATAAAACAAAGTATTTTAATTATCCGTGTTATTAGTTGTGTAGATTATTGTAATTTCAGTAACTACTTGTATTAACGTCTTAGATAATAAATTATATTCAGGTAAATTTTTTCCACAAATTATTTACATCACGAAATTTTGGAGTTACTGAGTAGATTATGACCTACTGATTTAATGCCATTAAAACCAAATATTCAAAAATGTTTTATTGTCTTAAATTTTTATTAAGATAGAAAACTTTAATATCAAGTTTTATTAAACTTGTATGACATTTTATGTGTTTTAGATAGAAAATAATATTATTTTTTTATCGCAGTATTCACCAAATTTTACGTTTTTTAAAATTCTTTCGAAAAAATCAACTAGACAGGTAATTACTTCACTTAAAAATTATTTATTTTATCTCTTATATTTATGAAATTAAATTAATTCATTAAAAAAATAAATAAATATGGTTTTTATTGATTATTGACCAACTGTATGAAGTACGTACTAAAATATTTAAATGTCACTTTCAAATATCTTTCACGTAACTACTTCGGTTATACCTTTTTTGCGGACATAGCTTATTCACCATAAAGTATATTAGACATAATAGTAATATTATTCCGTCAATCTATACATGTGAATTTTATTAAACAATTTTTAATTATTGAATTTAAACATATTATCGTATACATCATAGTACCATAGATATGTCACTAAACGGAAAACGTCACTACGATGTTAATATACAATGTAATTAATTTTTTAATGATATTTGCAGGTTTATTATGCTTAAAATTACAAATTAAATATTTTAATGATGTATATCAAAACATTAATGTTCCTAAAACATTATTATAAATTAATATTATTTTAAATTAAACACTTAATGCAGTTTAGTTTAACGTAGAAAGTTTTTATCAATTTTAAACTTTTCTAATAAAATTTGACAATTTCGAAGTGGCACAACTATAATAAAATAAATATAAATTTTGCATTTGTGAAGAATATTATTTTATGTTTCTACTTAACTACAGTTAATTTAAATGTAAAATGTATTATTATCCATTCTATATACATTTTATCATTTTATAAATATGGTTTTATTATTAATACAAATTGTATGTTGTAAATTTACAATATTTATTAATGATTATGTATTCCATTTATTTTGATGAACTTAAATAAATAATATCTAGATACTTATTTCTCTTATGAAACATTTAATTCTCTATTTGAAAACAATATAGCATGGGCATAATGTATAATATACACACGTATGCTATACTAAATTACGCATAAATGTTTTCTCCAAGTCAAATCGATGACATTGAATGCATAGTAAGTAGGAAATAAATAAAAATTTGTTTGCATTATTTAAAAGGTATATTAAATTATGACACCTGTTTATGTTTATACAATATACCTATTTTACTAATACATACGTGTTTACAATTATCAAACAATATATATAGTACCTATTATAGTTGATTATCTGTTTGAATGTTTGAGAAAAGATTCAATCAAAACTTTAGTTTTAACAATATTGTTTTAGCCTGCAGAAATGTTTTATTTAAGACAACGCACTCGAGAATAATTTTTAGTTTATACAAAATATAGGTGGTAGATAATTAAAAGGTTTGATGAGTTAAATATACATATATGGGTACCTGTATAATAATTAAATTATGAATATAGTTTACTCTTATTTAGTTATTTAGTGAGGCTGTATTAGTGTTAAGTTTCAAAATGAAAATAACAACGAAAGTCGTGAAGAATTTCAAAAATATCGAAATTCATAAAATTTGGTACGTGATCGAATGTCATTAAATACAAATGAATTTATCAATCATGTTCCGTAATATAACATTATAATATAATGTCATATTATAACAAAATTATGTTACTTATTGTATATGATATACGCATAAATAATATATATACACATACTAGACATTTAAACCCCTGTTGGCTATCGCGTTATGTAGGTAGGTTACCTTTATAATAAATATGGGTAATAACTAATAATTAATTACTATATTTGTGTTCACCCTTGCTAGCTATCGACATGAATTTTTTATAGGTAGTTAAAAAACACGGATAAATACAAAATGGTTACAATAATAACATTGTACAACACGAACTAGCACACAATAAATTATGAACATATAAGTACAATGTAGTATATAATATGTATATAGGCATGTTAATCAGCTGTTAAAATGTTACCGATTTTGTTAGTTACAAAAAAATACATATTTGTATCTTGTTTAGAACATAATATTGGCTCATAGACTTAAGGACATATATAGACTATAAATTTTAATATTGGTGTCTGGTGGATTATTCATTTGGTAAACAAATTTGATATGGTTTAGCACTAAAGCCTATTTCGAGTGGGAATGATAAGCAAAATTTTCAACAAAACAAATTTCAATTAGCTTATTGATATCATCATAATAAATATTTGTATATTGTATAATATAGGTAGGTATTATATAAAAGGTTTACTATATCTCAAAAATATAGTTTAATATAATATAAGCTATTGATAGGTATAGTTCGGTTATAACCAAACCATTTAATTAGTTGATTAACTCGTTTTTCATACTTTTTTTACAACAAATTGTTAGTATACCTTTATGATATTTGATTTCTAGTATAAACGATTTAAATTCTATTTTCCTTTTAGATCATATTAACATGAACTATAAAGTACAAAGAACTTCCATCATAAATTTAAAGTTTGTCAATAATTAAAAAATATGAAAAAATTCAAAATAAGTAGATTCTAAACTATATGAGCTTAAATATTTTCGTTCGAGTAGGACATACACGGTAATACATTTGAGCTCTTTCATATCGTAGACTGTATACCAGCTAAATCTATACATAAATAATATTATCTAAAAGGTACTAAAATATACGTTGTAACACATTTTGTCGAAGTCTCCGTATAATATAATAATAAAATTCTTTACTAATAACAGGTATAAGTATAGACGAATTACCTCGAGTCTTGTTGCCGGTGTCCAGAATAGGAAGAAGAACGACGAGCGACGGACTTGGCGGCCCGGCGTAAAAATCGGTTACTCGTGGAAAGGGTTGGTTGGGACTCGCGTGCGACTTGGACGGACGAAACGGTTGAGTAACGGACACAAAACAGAGGTGTCAAAACGAAATCGACGGACCGGCAGTAAAAACGCGACGTACTCGAGATTGTGTGGCGGCGTGCTGGCACACGTGAGAGGACTGCTGCACGACCCGCGAGACGCGCGTGTCGTTAACGACTGACGCGGAAGTAGCTCGTAGTATACGCGATCCGGAAGAGCTTTTTTTCGAAATAAAATTTTTTTTTTTTTTTTTAATTTAATTATGTTTACTGCATGACATGATTGAACTGGTGTTTAATCGTGCGGCGAGGTGGTGTCTCAATGTTATGTGTTACCCGTCCCGGGACCGACGTGAGTCTTGGAGACGTGCGACGATGGGCGCGAAGTATCTGGGGATCCGGGAACGCCGAGACGGCGACGACAACTGCACACGAGTACACGCGGGCTGCGACCGCGTACGACTGAATGGCTAGTAGTGCCCCACGACTACCCTGTTCGACGGCGGCGGAAAAACGTGATCCGCGGCGGTGCGCGCAAAAACCGTTCGCGCCGACGCGCGCGCGCGCGCGTGTTTGTGTGTGTGTGTTTGTGTGTGTGTGTGTGTGTGTGTGTGTGATATCGGGCGACGTGAGGGGGAAAATAAAATGGGTAAAGGAAAAAAAAAATCAAACGTAAAACGAAATAAAGAGGGACCGCGGCGGCCGAGCAAGCCCGAACCAATGGGATCCGTGGGAACATTCCACACTTGTGGCGGCGGCGGCGGTGACGACGACGACGGGGCAGTACAGCTCATACCACCACCGCCACCGCCACCGCCACCACCGCCAACGCCGTCACCGCCGCCGCCGTTGCGCTCTCTCGCGATCGTACTGTACTATTTCAATTGCTATTACTATAATACTATTATCGTGTTTTATGTATATATATATCATCATAGCGTAGTCACTCAGGTTACCCCACCACGGCCGCAGTTCGTAAACCATTCATGCCCAAATCGGCAGTGGCGCTGTACGATATTATACGAATATACATAATATATACAAGTCTGTGTGTGTTCGCGCGTGTGTTTGTGTGTGTGTGTGTGTGTGTGTGTGTGTGTGTGTGTGTGTGTGTGTGTGTGTGTGTGTGTGTGTGTGTGTGTGTGTGTGTGTGTGTGTGTGTGTGTGCGTGTGTGTGTGTGTGTGTGTGTGTGTGTGTGTGTGTGTGTGTGTGTGTGTGTGTGTGTGTGTGTGTGTGTGTGTGTATGTGTGTGTGTATGTATGTGTGTGTGTGTGTGTGTGTGTGTGTGTGT